AATGCGAAAATCAATAGTGAGAGCTTAGCAAACCAACTAAAGTCGCACAACCATATCGATTTTAATTTTTTGTTACATATAATTCGTTGACGAATAACAACCTCGTCTTACGATCAAAACTTTATCTTTGACCTTCAAAAAATATATAATCATTTTATCAAGTGATTAGACAGGAAGTTAAATCTATCTTTTATTTAAAAGAAGACCAGAAACTACAGTAACTTTTTTGCGATAGATAAATATATATTTCAACTTAAAATGTGCATTTACATGGCAAATGGCACTTTAAACAATACACTTAACAGTTATCAGATATGTACGTTTTGAACAAGCCGTGTCAACCAGTATTATATGCTAGGGATAGCACAGAAACAGAGTTAAGTTGATTCTTCCATGTGCCCCTTAAATATATTGTTTTGCAATCAATAATGATATTTCAAATTTAAATTCAATGCCTGAGAAGTTGATATTTTAAAACTGTCATAATTAATACAATACGAAAGCAACACCGATGTTAATGCATACAGTAATAAAAGATAATAATAGATGTAAGAAATAATTGACTATATCATGGACACAATGAATCCATACTATTGGCAACGTGAAATCCATAGTGTTAGCATGATGAAATCTAGGTAACTATCAGATACCACTGTAAAGCCAACACGCTTTTGTAATCTGATAATGTGGGAAGAAATGGTTTAAATGGTTAAAAGAAATGGTTAAACTATGTTAATTACCGTTCGAAAATAATACAGGTTAATGTAACATAGATTGGCGCTGGGCAAAGCAAACGTGGTTTAGAAGTGACAACTCATATCCTTACATATTTTGATTTCGAAGGACATACATTACAATACAGTTCATAATGGTATTAAAACACTATAATTTCTTTTGACCAATTTTGGGTAAAAACCAGAATTGAAGGGAAAATTTGCAGAGAAGTCCATTACAAGATCGCCAAGGCTGAAAGTATTTTCATTTTCGAATTCAAAGCATTGACAAAGTATAGAAAAATTCTAAACAACAATTACTTTTGATAATTTATTCGTACTATTGACAATGTGCAGAGTGGGTAAAAGCTAATGGGAAGTACTATGGGGAGAATATCAAAACTTTTGGTCAGATCTTATGACAGCATGTCTAATGTTTCTCAATGACGCACAGCGCAATTGGAATGAAATAATTGCTTTTGCGGTAGATGTGGGAACATTGGACCAACTTCTTATTCCCTGTACATAAGTCTTTGTGACTTTTTTGAAAAGGAATGTATCGTCATATTGATTTAGAGGAATCTCAATCAGCCATGGCCGCGAGGGTGTATGTACTTTATAAACGGTTGCAAAGAAAGAAATCTGTAAATGAGCACAAAGAAAATTGATTTGAGGTATAAACAAATAACTAAACATTACACTATATGACTGAAATGATCCCTAAAATCGTCAAAATATGCAGTTAAGAAGAACGTCAGTATTGTGCTACCTGGCGATTTTCGACGATCAATTTAATACTGACTAACTTTAAAATTGCATTTTCATATAGATGTGTTTTTTATCATCTCGAAACTTATTTGTACTTTCTGTCCGAGTATTTTGTATCAAATAACAGTATTTACAGTTTATTTTGAAACTCGAGAAAAAACGTAGATGAAGATATGATTTTTGGCATGAACATATGTTAAATGAATTGTAATGAATGTTACTACTCGTAACATTTCCATTAAGTTTGCTAATTCACATATATTAGACCCACCCGTCAACGAAATATATGGTCATTATTTTATGTATTTGTTCTGGGATGAGACGTGAATGTTCTAGTCACAAACAAACTATTTTAAATTTTCAATAATACTAAGTCCTGACATAGCACAATATTGCAATTGGAAAAAATTTAAAATAAAATGGTTACACCCAATTAATGTTTGACATATCGAGAATATCTTTTTCTATACAAATAACATAAAAATTGTTTGAATAATTTAAGTGTACTAATAAAGTAATTAATGCAATCACAAACACATAGTTTCATGGGATTTTATTTATTATTTTTTATGTACGAACAACCCATGACACCCGGGCATATAGCCACTGCTGAGACCAGTGCCATTATTTCAAACAATTTGTAAAAGGTGCACTAGATGATGGTTCATCAAAGCTCTACATGCTTTAGCATTTGCGCATTCAAAGAATAAGATAGTACATAACAGAAAAAAACAATGATTCCGGGACGGGCCAACTAATGATCCTAGAGGTACCATTTAATCAACTATCGATTTCTGGATGGTGTTTTAAAATACATACCAAAGCACTGTGTCTTGTATGGGGTTGGTCATATGGGGGTTGCGTTCATTGAACGCCGCCTTTCCTTGTTGATCTTGTTTTTCATATTTTGTACTTTCAGACAAGAAGAGATTTTAAAACCCATTTCCCCCTATTACTCACCTATGCAACTGTCCTAAATTATCTGAATAACTTTGATAGAGGAACACCCAAGGTTTCCGTGTAGTGTGATTAATTTCTAGTCATCTGTTTTAGAGCAGATATTTTAAAATATGTTTGCTTTGCGACGGTCGATCGAACATGCATGGCGACGGACGACTGGGATAGGATCGCAATAGCTCAAAATGAGCAAGTTGTGCTCAAGTGTACAATAGTTAAATTTGTCTGCCCAAAGTCAAACTCTGTAAATATGTGCAAAACATTTTTGTACATAGGTTCTCTGATGTTTCCCAAGGGATAAACCCATTTTTATCATTTTTGAGGATAAATCTAGTTTTGTGACGATTTCTGTCTTTTTTGTCCTGTCCTTTTTTGTATGGTTGGGCTCTTTGTCGGTTTTCCTCCTTACTAGGTCTTTAAGGGGTCGCTTTTATTGAACATCGCATTTCCGTGTTGGTCTTGTTTTTTTTATTTTTCCCTTTCAGAATGAGCTTGTCTTTATTACAAGTTCTTGTTTAAGAAAATGATATGTTACATCGCATTGAGGTTTTAAAAATGATACCCGGATTTCACTGTAAACAGCTTAAGTATTTTGGTTCTGTCATAGAAATGAATCCAATGAAACAAAACCAATAAAATAAATACAAAATTTGTTTTATTTCTTTTGAAATGAGAAATCGAGCTCATTTTTGTTGATTTATCAATTCAGTTTATCGTTGTGTTGACCTGACATGACTAACCAACTCATTCTAGTGAATGTACAACACAATCCTCAAAAAGTTTTAGAGTGTAACATTCGGGCATATATGCCTTATTTAACATTGCGGTATTTTTATTATGCAAAAACAACAACCCTACGCTGTGACAGAATAAGATTGTTTGCGCAATGTTTTTCAAGAATTATTGTCGATGATGTACATGGCTTTAGCGACGGATATACGAGTATAAATACAGTTGACGAACCTTTGATTTTTTGATAATATTTCTTATTTGTAAAACGCAACCTCGAGCATTTATTATTTGTTTACCTTATATTTTTTTAAGCGGACTACTTTATGATTGTTGAGTGCTTACAATCATTCGCCCAACATAGACTGTTTTATCAGGTGGTAATGCATTTGCTCCATCAGGGATCGGGGCAAGTACAATATCGTATCTCTTTCCTAATTATATATGACGTGATATATGTTTCAAGCTGCAAAATTGTTAGCGACAGTATTTAATAATGACTGTGTTTGAGGGGTTGGGGGACAAGTAAAACCATGATTTCATTGCACTCTAAGGATAACGATAATTTTTCTTTCACATTTGGATGTGTATGGCGGTCTGTGTGTTTTTCATTTTCCTCATTATAACGATTGTTTAAATGCAAGTTTGTCCATGCGGCATGTAGAAATATTTGCAAAAATATCACTTGTCTTTTATTGTCCGCTTCGAGTTGTTTCAATTTATCTTCTAATTCTCTGGTTTTGTTCATTTTAGCTTCTTCCTTAGATATCTGAATAAATTATATCAATTTCAATTGATTGATGTAATATTTTTTAATTACTTTACTTAATATATAAAAAGCAAAATGTCATTAACTCAAATGTAGTTTTTTTATAGATTGATCTCGAAAATTCTAAAGCATTGATTATTAAAATTATTTACTTAATATATGCATATGCTTACTTCAATGACTCTATCCGTTTTCAATGATTTGTGTTCTTCCTCCAAATAATCATCTTGCTGCTTCAAGTATAAAAGCTCATTAGACTCTTGTACGGATATCATTTCCTATTATGACAAATAGAATATATTAGTCTGCAATTTCAGAAAAAAATGTTCAATTGAAAAGGCAGACATTTGGCAATTGATCATAATAATAGGCTTTGTTCCTTCTGTCCGTATTAAGCTATCGGTGATGAATTTCACTACTTATTTGAATGTTCGTACCCTAATGACATAAGACGTAAATCTCGTCTTCCCAGTTTTTATATTCATCCCAATATTTAAAAACTTGACAGATGAATGAATAGTTGTGATAAAAAAAATCTACTAAAATTATCTTTATTTTGTAAAATAAATATGTTAAAATTTAGATAATAAATAATTCTCATTCTCCGTTTCAATTTGTTACAATGAAAATTACATGTTGTATTGAATTCAATAGTTGAAAATGAACAATATCATCTCCTTTTTTGTTTATTTAGCTAGTCATAATTATATTATTTTTTGTGTTATTAGTGATATTTGACTGTTATTTGTCTGTTCGTTTGTTTGTTATAACCAGTTGCATAGTATATGCCCTGGTTTTAAAACTGAAACTGAAATTGAACGAAGAATAAACATTTTACAGAACATAGTTACTGCTGCAAATCCGTCGTGTAAGACATTTTAAGGAAATTCAGACAAAAGATGAGTTTGTTTTCATGACAAGCTGTTTTTATAAACAACATCTACACTTTGACACAAGATATTTATCGTTACGTGAAAGTATTATATTCATTTAACTATGACCGGTTAAATTATTTTCTTATCAAAATATCGGTGTCATTTTGCTATTCAATTTTGGCTATAATGTTAACGAATTGTTATTACCTCCACCTGTAAAAGTAATGAATAAATAAATTCCTTTAGAGATAACACGTCACTGCTTTTGATATGTTCAGGCAGGTCACTTTCACTTTCGCTGTCATCCAACATATTTTTTATAATTTCAAGAACGTTTTTCACAAGAAACTGATATTCGAAGGGTTCACAATCAGCATCATTATGCTGCATCTACAACAAATTAGTTATGAATTCTAAAAAAAATGTACTAGCACTGAAGATTTGTTTATTCATAAAAAAATCATAAAAAAATTATTTGCGTGCCAAATATCTAAGTTTCACATTGTTTATCTGTTTTCATGCATAGATTAAGTGCAGGCATTACTTTATTCCACAAACTCTTTTGAAATTATATAAGCTTTAATGAATATAGATACACATTTCAATTAAAATGATGAAATATTTATAAACTGTATGATAATTATTTTCTTTGAAATATGTAAAACAAAAAATGCACCTTCTCTATATCTTCTACACCATTTGAACACGACTGGCAATTATTTTGCCAACGCCTCAAAAGTACCAACAAATGATCAAACAACATTTCCCGATCTTCGTTTGAAAAGAGCAGCTCTTTTGCATATATCAATTTATCTATGTCTTCTAAAACCTTAAAAAACATAATTATTCAACAATAAGCCTCTGATGCATAAATTTCAACTTTACTAACCTTCAAACTGTTTTACTAAATGCAAGAAAACGACGGCTTTATTTTAGCATTTTTAATGTCAGATTTTAATGATTGGATTTTCATCAACTCTAATTATTTCATTATTGTCAGTACAATTTACTTTTCTCATTGCAAGAAAAGGCACTAAAGCACTTACCTGACCATAAATTTTCTCAGAATCTTTAAATGCAAACATCTTGCAATTTTTCATAAGTCTTATTAATGTTCTAGCATTCATCTCTCGGCCATGTAGTTTAACGTCCTGTGTTTTAACACCGATGAAACAATGAGCCAAATCCCAGATAAAACTAAAGCAGCTGTCAGTGTTAGAAAAATTATGTTGCTTTTCTTGTAATAAACTTTCCCTATCTTGTTCAGCAGATATATCTCCCGTGACATAAGAAAGTTTTCTTAGCCTGGTGTAAAGCAATTCACAGTTTTTGTGACCACAACCAAGGTCCTCGTTATTAATGTTTGCAAAGTCTAGTTTCATACCATGTTGATTTACACATCGGATAAATGTACCCAGTTGCTCTTTCTCTGTAGTAGGTAGTGCAGCAATGAATTGTTTCCACTGTATTTTAATCAAGTCGCGAAGAGAGTTTCTTGCAGAATTGAGAGCATGAACTCCTTGCACTATGTTTTGAAAACCTGGCTTTAACAACAACTCGTTTAAAGACATGCATCTTGAATATAAAAGAAAGAATGCACAATATCAGTTTTGACTCCGTCCTTCAAAAACATGAGATATGAGACTCTTCGAAACAGATTCAAATATATATTTTATTGAAACCGAGAAAACGAGCTGGTAATTATATTTTTGAAATTTGCTTTTTAAGCAATTTATAGAACTTAAGAGATAGTCTTGAATTAATGCACTGGCAGATTAAAACATATATCTCAGAAAGCCATTATTTCATATCTTGTCAGCTGCCTTTATAAATCATTTATATATCCATAACTATTTCGAGTAAAATATTAAAGAAATAAGCGATGAGAAGGTATTAAGAAATTGTCTTAATTTCCACATATAGCGCATCACACGTTTTGTTGTTTTGTAAGTGTATTCATATAGAAGGGCAATCAGTCCTTTATATTACGCTCGTTTTATATCGTATATATTATATCGTTCAGATGGTTTCATTCAATGAAATTATTCGAAATAATGAAAATTCATAATTAGAGACTTATGAATTGTATTATATCGCTTCGAAGCGCTTGTTCCTGTGAGTTTTGTTATTAAATTTTAACTTTAGGTGTTGAATAGAATTTCTAGGTTCTTAATCAATATCTTTTGTAATCGTGAAAATAATACTTTGTAATGTAATGATTGATAATAGAAGTTTAGAATAAAAAATGATTAACAAATCTAGCAACTACGGTGGCACAAAGGTGAAATGTGTAGGTTTTTATTTATCTCGTGCGCACGAGATACTATAATGTGGCCACGAGTTAATGAGTCGTGACCATGAGTTACTAAGTTGTGGACACGAGTTAATAAACTCGTGGGAAAGAGAAACTATGTTGTGAGCTAGAGTTAATAAATCGTGTCCACGAGTTAAATAATGTCGTTGCCACAAGATACTATGTCGTGGCCACGAGATAATTTGTCGTTGCCACGAATTACTAAGTCGTGGGAACGAGATACTATGTCGGTGTCACGAGTTACTAAATCGATGGCACGAGATAATTACAAATGTAAGTCGTGAGCATGAGACACTATGTTATGGCCATGTGTTACTAAGTATTGGCCACGAGATGATTAAGTGATGAGTGCGAGATACTATGTCGTGGCCACGAGTTACTAAGTCGTGGTCACGAGTTTCTTAGCACGGGCTAATTAACCAATAAGATTACACTACATATATACATTTAGAACAAATTCTGTTTACAGTTTTACATACAATATTAATTTTTGAAAATACTAATGATATTTGCTTTAAATTTGATACATGTCTTAAGGATCATATTAGAAAGTCACCTTCCAAGTCCCATAAATCAGACATTAATTTTGACAAGACAGTTTGTAAAGAATAACGGCCTGTTAACCTTTTGTATACGATAACTTGAGAAGGAATAAGTCCTGGTTTATTTTATTTGGTAGGGACATTGCCCATTGACAGTAGATAGCCTATGAGCATATTTGAGGTCAAGGGTCAAGGTAACCATGACACTTCATGTAAAATCCTTGTCTTCAGAAAAATTTAGAAAGAATAAGCCCTGGTTAATATGTCACAGGGTGAGAAAAATGTGCAGCCTGACCGGGACTCGAACCCGGGACCCTCGGAATACCGTTCCGGGGCTCTACCGACTGAGCTATCCGGCCGCTTACACATCTTCTCTCCTAAATAGTGAACAGTTCTGAAACCGTGACATACTCCCCTGCTATATTTAAATTCGTCCTCGAATTTCACAGAGTTACAGAGCAATGTAAATCAAACTCTGAGCTATATCAGTCATGGTCCCCCGTTGGGCGCAAAATGTCACAGGGTGAGAAAAATGTGCAGCCTGACCGGGACTCGAACCCGGGACCCTCGGAATACCGTTCCGCGGCTCTACCGACTGAGCTATCCGGCCGCTTACACATCTTCTCCCCTAAATAGTGAACAGTTCTGAACCGTGACATACTCCCCTGCTATATTTAAATTCGTCCTCTAATTTCACAGAGTTACAGAGCAATGTAAATTAAACTCTGAGCTATATCAGTCACGGTCCCCCGTTGGGCGCCATTTGTCGCAGTCCACTATTACGATATGAGAAAGGTGCTGCTAAGAGGTTCTGGGCTTGAGGGTTGCTATAAAAATACAGAAATACGCTCTCAGAAAATATTTATTATCGATGAATACGAAGTCTGGCTCGCGCCATGAAAATCTTCAGTAGGAGTGCAAAGACAAAATAATGACAAATGACACAAAATCATGAATGGCAAAATGTAGAATAACAAGTATGGGATCAATACAGACATTCATATTTACGTATAAAAATACAGAAATACGCTCTCAGAAAATATTTATTATCGATGAATACGAAGTCTGGCTCGCGCCATGAAAATCTTCAGTAGGAGTGCGCATGCGTGAAGGTACTTAGTGCGGAAATAGAATATTTAAGATTGAGGCCCGTACCAATGGTTAGTACATACTTGTTAATAAATGAATGAATGAAGAAATAAATGAATGAGTAAATGAATAAAAGGATGAATGTATGGAATATAGGATAAGGACACAAATATAGGACTTCACATAATCTACGGTGTACAATACGGGACATACATTTACAAATAACATCTAACATTAATACATCAATATGACCCTGCGACAAATATAACCTAGAAAGATCATTGCTTATCTGGTCAGTAGATGACATGTAATAATTTTGAAGTTTTTTTTATCAAAAGTCAGGGTCACAATGACGCTAAATACCAAACAATAACTTGTATAGAAGGCACTTTTATAGGCAGGTGAAGTAGCGGCATCCTTGTTTCAATAGCACATGTGTAGTAAATTAGGCTGATTTGTTATTTATCTCGTGAGCATGACTAAATTTTTGGTTCCACGACTTGGTAACTCATTGCCACGACATAGTATCTCGTGTCCACGACTAAGAAATTTGTGGCCACGATATGGTATCTCGTTCCCTAGACATAACTCTCGTGGTCACGAAATAGTAACTCGTGGTCACGACTTAGTAACTCGTGGCAACGACTTAATAACTCGTGGCCACGACATAGTATCTCGTTCCCACGACTTATTTATCTCGTGCCCATGGCTTATTAACTCGTGGACATGACATAGTATCTTGTAGCCACAACATAGTATCCCGTAGCCACAAGGCCAAGACTTAGTTACTCGTTGCAAAGACAAAGTATCTCGTTCTCACGACTTTATTTTCTTTTATTTTATTTGTCGTGGCCACGACTAAGTAATTTGTGGCCACGACATAATATCACGTGCGTACGAGATAAATAAAAACACACACATGTCAACGTTGTGCCACCGTAAGCAACCGATTACATACAGGTTGATAGTTTTAGAGTTGTGTTCCGGACAAAATTAAAAGTGAAAAAATAAACCAAGGGCAATAATTCAAATATTAGGCAAGGCAGAGTTACAGTTCTTGTACACTGTATACCTACTCAATGAGATATATCTACCAACAAAGTTTCATATTAATACATCTTATAGTTTGAGAGTTATGTTTCGGACAAAGTTCAAAGTGTAAAAATAAACAAATGGCAATACTTCAAAAATTAGCAAGGCAGAGTTACGGTTCTTGTGCACTGAACACCTACTCAATGAGATCTGTCTACCTACAAAATTTCATTTTGGTACCTCTTGTTATTTCAAAGGTATGTCCCGGACAAGAAAAGCGGACGGACGGACAAGGCGGCGACTATATGCCCACCCTTCGGGGAGCATAAAAATGTAGGAGCTAGTTGAGTAACTGAATAAATTTTAAATATTGTCTTACCTGATTAAATCCATTGTTATTTTAAAAATTAAATAGTTTTCTGAAATAATCTAGCAATATACTCATTTTTATGGCATTAAATGGAACGCTAACTGCGAAGATACGTTAAAATACGCGCATAGCTTCCTTCAACGTGTACGGATCCCGTTTTAGGTTTATAGCTATTGATTTATGGGGTGCACTGATAACAAGAGTTATAGGGTGCACTGATAACAACCAAACTGATAAAAGTTAAATTAGAACAGCGCGAAAGGTAATGTACGTAACATTTTTGTTTCGTTTTTATAGATAGATTTAGAAGTAACTTGTTTAAAACTTGATTTCGAAAAAAAATGTCTTTTGAATTGTTATTATTTCATACTTTCCAGTGTTTTACTGTAATATGTCAGATGAACCACTAGTGAAATCTATAAAATATAATTTTCAGTGTAGCCGGACTATATGTGAATACGAATGAAAACAATATTATAACTAAATTGGATAATAGGCCAAAATAAATGTCTTCATACGTAAATTTTGTTCTTTAGAAAAAAAGAAGTCGATGTTATCATACATCGTGTTTAAAATGTTACAAAATTAGAAAAATCTAGCAGAGCTATATTTCAAAATTGATGACGTGACGTCATAAATGAGAATGCGCGACGTTACGCGGCAAAATCAGTATCAAATACTAAAAATCATTAAAAAAGCATGAAATGAAAAGAAAATTTATCTATTTTACATATAACACTGTTGTACAGCGTCCACCGGATATAGCCCCTCAAAACTCCGAAAACGAAAGTAAAAGGTTTACGTCGGGTTCACCCAAGGTAAAGTTTCTACTTATTTCTCCATCATAACTTCACTGATTTTTCAAACTAAACAATTTTGTGAAGCTAAATATGTCAGGGTTTAGAGCAGTATTTGCTTTTTTCTGCAAATTGTATACTTTTTGTTAAATTGGCGATGAATTGTACCGTTTTTGTTGACATTTGCGAACAATGTTGATATTTACCTGTAAGTCGGGTCCAAAATGCATTTGTTGTATCAAAATCCGTATTTAATATAAAATATAGACTTCCTTCTTCTTGTATTTAAGTGGTCATCCATCAACTCAAGCTTCTTTTAGCAAAATTTGCGAAAAACGACATTGCCTTGTGTACAGAGTCTAGCACAGTTGTGTACGGGATGAGGACGCTGTACAACAGTGTATTAGATTGAAATATAGTTCATTCGTAATACCAGCTACTCTAAAATTATTGGATCTGGTGTTCACTCAGTGAAATATTTCAATCTTACATGCATATAAACAAATATCTTCTTTTTCTTTCTTAAAAATACGTTTCATAAAGGATTACTACGTTGTCCTGTTGGAGCCATCGCCTGACAGACATAACTCTAAAAAATGAAAAAACGATTTTATGATGATAAAAAGTCGGAATAACGATGGTGAAAAGGTATGATGATGAGAAGTTGAAAGCACAATAATGGTAATAAATCGATATTATTCCTTCATTTTCAAATCTTACTTTCGACCTGTCGCCATCGTGGTTTCGTTGTTTCATTATTTCGACCCTTCAAAATCATACTTTCGATTTTTCAACATCGTATTCTTGACTTTTATCCATCGTGGTTTCGTTATTTCGACTTTGCGTCATCGAACTTTCAACTTCTTATCATCGTGGTTTCGACTTGACATTATAAAAGTTTCATATGTTCACCATTGTACCTTCGAATTTTACCTTCGTGACTCACTAAATGACAATCTATACAAAGATGTCATCCTATTTTGCAGAAGGTTTATATTGAAAGGTTATTTATAAAATGAATCATAGTGCACAAAATAAGCAATCCCGGAGAAAACGAAATTGCAAGCAACCTGTTACAAATTTTACTGACTTTACAAGCGTTACATATATGTAACATAGTGTTACGATTGTAAAGAATGACAAGTGTTTCATTTAATTGCGTTCATTTTGTGCGCTACATGTATAACAATTTCTAAGATATTCTATGTCTTTTGAAACTGATGAGAAGTAACTCTACGTTTTACTAGATCAAGAATTGTCTACCACATCGTTTCGTTGTTTCCTTCACTAATAGCAAACACAGTTATAGCGAACTTCCGGTTATAAGGAACAATTTTTTTGGCCCGAATTTTGCCCTTTTTATTTAATATAAAACTATACGGTTCAAGCGATCACGGTTATAAGGAATTATCGCTTATAAGGAAATTATTTCTTAGTCCAAATTTAGTTGAAAGTACAGAAAATTACACTATTATAACGAACTCGATCCGTAAATAGATCCCGCATTTTCAACTTTCGTTTTTATTGGCATGGATTAATTAAAACTCGGCCGAATGTTCTGTTTATTGTTTTATGTACCTCAATACAGCTGTAAAAATGAATTTGTATAGCAGTACGTAACGGTTTTCTATTTAGAATATTTTTAGCATCAAGATAAAACGGTTATTCCTTTTATTCTATAATTTCTTTTCTTTAATAGTATTGCACGAGTAAAATAATTATGATAATTTATAATCGGTTTCCAATATAATCACGCATGCTTTTCATTGCTAATGCATCGAAAACTACAAAGTACGCTTGATTGAAATGAAAGAAAACTATATCTTCTATAAGTCAAAGTCAACATTAAAATGTAATAGAAAATATTCAAAAAATCGAAATCTAGTTTATTCTAAATCATGGAAAGAAAACGAAAAGCACTGAGTTCAGAAACCAAATATGAAATTTAATGAGAAATTGAGAAAGGAAGTAAAACCAAAACTGAAATAGCAAAGGATCTTAAAATTCCAAAAAGTACGCTTTCGGGTATTGTGTCTAAAAAGAAATAAATGACTATTTCTTCTTAAACGAATGCTCTTCAAAAGAGAGGACAATGGTATTCGTTATTTGTAAATCTTTTCGCTATAAAAACGTCTGATACAAGGAACTAATTCGCTACATGCTTACAAGAAACTCCGGATATAAGGATATAATGTTTCAATGAGCTCGAGTTCGTTATAAGCGTAAGAGTTTACTGTATCGAATTTTCACCAATGCACATTCGACTTTTCATCATCGTATTTTCGAATTTTCACCATCGTAATTTCGTTATTTTTGGCTTATCACCATCGTAGATGAATTTTACGTCATTGTACCTGTGACTTTTCGTTATTGTTCTTTATGCTTTTCGTGAACATGAATTCGTTATTTTTATCATGATGATTATGTAGTTTCACTATGGATCTGCAAATATCTTAATTAATTATAACTAAGGGTAACTATTCAATTTCAAAAGATCATAAATATATCCCATAACAAATATATTGCTCGATAAATTCAGTGTAATACTTTTATATTAATATTAATATTATTTTATTTGTTTCACTTTCGTTCTTGTAGTGTTTACTATCATCCTAGATACATTTTGTTCTCTATTTTGCTTAAGCTTTGACAATTTGTCATAGTAGCATTTATCTATTAATTTTATTTGTACAAACTTTCCCACCAGAAAGCCAGTATTACGTCATATATGTTCTGATCTTACGAGTTATCGTAAATAATGTGTCAGTACTTACCTCTCTCTTTATGTCTACTTCTCACTTTTTACCAAAGAATTGGACAAAATGCCCAAATCTATAACTACTGTATTGTTGTGTACTAAGTACAAACATTTGAACAGTCAAAAAGTAAGGGGGGTCTTCAGTATATATTGCCTATGGTGCTTATGCTTAGTACACTACATGCTTCATCTCTTCGTGTGAATTAAATAGTTTAGCAGTTTTGTATAACTGCAGTCTTTTATTGCTTTTCTAACCTGTCATTGATTCTTTTTAAAGGCTCATGCGAAACCTTTTGGAAACTATAACAGTATACCAAAACTATAGAGCCACTAAGATATAGCAAAAGAAGTATTTCATGGGATCTATGTGCCTTTAACAGATGGAATTAAACTATGTCATATGTCCTGTTATAGTTTATAAATAGTAATTCATTGTTTATATAGCTAAACCATATTTTTGTTTCCTTTGCATGTAAGCATTAAGTACAGATAAGGAATTTAAAATGTTGCATGGAAATCAAAATACCACTTTAACAATTTGCTACTTTCATTTCAATTTTCTACTTGTCTTAATCCATTATTAAAACAGATTAAAACGATATTAAGACAAATGTATTCAAGTTGAAGGGTTAAGGCGTCTTTACAATACGATTATAAAAATACAGTAACATAGATTCTTTTTCGGTCTACTTCTACTTATGATTTTCAACATTATATAAATCTTATGATGGCCCAATAGTTGCATCGGATTTATAAGTAAATAAATGTATTTTTCTACAGTACTGTGTTAACGTGTTTCAGTGTAAAAATGGACGACTTTAAAGATATTATCAAAGAGGAGAAATACAAGAACTGGGTTAAATGCACTTTGGGAATAGCGCAAACGGGCAAGGCAGTATGTGAATACGTCAGCAAAAAACTTTTGATGTATTTAGAAGGTAAAGCTACTCTTAACAACCCTGGCAAACAATCTTACTTGACCAAAGACGAATATTCCCATTTTCGGGATGATCTAAAACCAGGATTGCGAAATAATGTGTCAAGATATGTTAGACTAGAAAATAGCCAATGGAAATGGAATGTGAGTTTGCAGAAAGGGAGTTGTAAATGTCCGAGTATATTGGAAAAACTTCTTTGTTTACACAAAAGTCAGAAGGATATCCATTGGAAGAATATCGACGACACGCGAAACCTGTCGCCTGAATGGGTTATAGCAAAGATCTTTATGCCAATGGGCAATGAGGATAACAAGGGACCAGATAATACTGACCCTAGTGCAATTTTCAAAGTGATGAATATGTGTGATTTATTTATGAACCCAATTAGAGCTGGAAACATTAACGGGGTTAGTAACAGAAATCGCACATATATCACAAACATGAAATACCCACTTTAAATTCTCAGTACATTCTCAGTACGATAAACATACGATATAAATTAATGCTCACAACTTTGCTATGCTTAGAAATTTTATCGAAAATCCATTGTTGGTAAATATACATAATACTATAAGATATATATTTTTTACCATGATAACTGTATTAAACTTAACTGCACAATAACTGCAAAAATTAAGTTAATTTCATAGAATTAAATTCAGCATTTTATTTAACGATTTCAGGTTATAGACGCTAGAAACGCACTTTTCCACTCTTCCGACAATTTGGTAGACATGGAAGAATATTTTAGGTATATGGAAAATCTTCTCTCTGATGCTTCTAATGACCCGGACATTGATGGTGACTTAAAACGAAGTATAGATAATAGCAAAAGGAAAATTGTACAGGTAATGTGTCGAATATTCGCTTTAATGACTTGCAGTTTTTTATAACTAGTGGGAAATATTCTTTATTCTGCAATTGCAGCACCAATATTCCAAGCTTAAATATTTTACAAGAGTGATAAATCTTTATTTAATTTAAAGCACTTTATATATAAGGTCTTTATTTAGCCATACGGGTATTTCAGCTCAATCATATATTTGGCATTTCAAGAATGTAATTTCAACTCAAACCTATTCCAAATCACAAATTTATAGAGATTTACATATAAAATTTGAAATAAAATGTCAAGAAATTGGTCTCAATATTTTACAGTTAAAAGAAAGTGAAATTACAATGACCCTATTTGAAGACGCACAAAAAGCGATGAGAACTGAAAGAATGGCTATCTTTTACAAATTTGAACAATCTCTTTGTGACAATGATCCAGCACAACTGCAAGAATTATTAAAACTTGCGGAAAAACTAAGATCGGATCTTGAGTTTATAAATGTCCATTTTGATGACATTAAATCCCAAAGTTTGCGAATTGAGCAACAAACGATGAGCAACAAACGATGATCTTTGATAGCCAACATGATGAAATTAAGAAACTGAAAAACGATATCAAGGCAAACGGTAAAGAAATTCTAAATCTAGAAGAACGGTTAAAAGAAAAATCAAAAGAATGTTGTGAATTGCAAGACAATAGAAGTATACAAATGGATAGACTGCAAAAAGAAATTGCAAAAATCAAAGCCAAAATTACAGACCTTTTACACCAAAAAATTAACTTAAAAAGACTTATACATGAACAAAACTCAGAGTTCAAAGACATTTCCAAGAACAGGGATAAAATCTTACATCAATTTGAATATCTTCAACACAAGAATGAGCTTCAACGCCGCGAAATTGATAGTCTAGAATGGGAAACTGTTGCTTTGGCAAGTGGACTTGCTGTTACGTCTGTTGTATTTTTAGGTTTGTAAACACAAAGCAGAAACATTCATTAAAGAAGGAAACAAAGACAGGATATTCAAGTTTTTTCTATGAATACAGCATTTTATTTTCGTCGAGTGGTATATAATATGATAATTTACATACCTCAAGATGAAAATAAATCTTCCTCGTTATTATAAGAGGTGCAAAAGATGCATCGAAAACCGGTTTTTGTGGGCACTGATTCGATCTCGATATGAAATATAACAATATCGATTCGATTCACAATAAAAATAAACACGAATAATATGCAAGTTTGATCTCTCTGGCTAGCTCGTTTTATTACGTGACATGCGATATGTTGAATTAATTCGGACATCCAATTATTAATTGCGTGTATATTCAGTAAGTAAAAATATTGGCTTAAAACGTCGAAGTAGAAACAATACAAAAAGTCCCCCATCAGAACTTAAATAAAGGGCGTAGGAACGCTTCGGGTCGCGCGAGGGTAACGAATTAAAAGAAACATGTAAGATATGTTTTGCAGTCGTGTCATATCCACAGTCAGTTGGTATTACTATCTTGATGCAAAAAGAAAACACTGATGTTGATGTGTTTACCAAGCCAAGTTCAAAGTTCAAAAGTCAGATCTGTAAATGTACTTGTTATTTTACTGATAGTTTATTAGATCAAAGTCGACGTCATTATATAACTTTGTATATACTTTTTTCCGTATTTGACTTTCCTATACTTTAATTTTGTGTATTGGTCGAATTAAGCTGAAGTCTGCACGTATTTTATTTCATCAATATTCTCAATATGTATTATACGCCCGAAAGAATTTCGGCGTATATTGTTATGCACCTGATTGTCCGTCCGTATGTCCGTGGCAACATTTGCGGTTTAAGTGCTTTTTCTTTGATCTTTATGTTTTTTTATTTAATCATATTTTATTGCTATATACATGTATATACAATACATATACAAATTTCACATGTATTCTAAACAGCATAAGCAAACGGGTTGGGTCCAAGTTCTTACAACATTAGCGGTCGACCCTCCCCGTAGATAATTAAACGAAAAAACTATATTCAATGCTTAATGGCATATAACATAAACATAGTGTATATCATGTATAATTGCTGATGGAATGAATCGTAAGAAACGATTTTAACAATATACAATAAAGTAATCGAACAGATAGAAATCAACGTTCGTGTATTTTATAAATTTATAAATATGGATGATCCAAGGATTCAGTACACCTACCCCCCACCCCTAAGTGTCACGGGTTTCGTTAAGGCTGTTATGTGCATTTACTATTATATTGGGTACATGGTATTTGTAATTGCTACTTATATAATATGCTAAGTACATGTATAGCTGATTACAATAAAGGTTTAATGTTTAGGTATATGTGAATCGATTTGTATTTTTAAGAAATTTATGGACAGCAGTAAATATAACTTCATTTTCTTTCGGTGCTAGGCTAACACTACCAAGTAACAGTAGACTGGTATTCAGTGGGTGGAACGTCCTAGTTTCTGTTAAGAGTGTTATTCATTGCGTATGATAACTCGGGCACTTAAAGAAGAAATGCTTAGCATTCTCAACTGCATTTCCGCAATGACATTTGGGATTTTTACTAAGATGATTTCTGACTAGGTCACCATTTAGGTCACTGCAATTGTTTCTTATACGTGAGTGTAAAACTGATAATCAAAAAATGTTTAGGTACAATAGGAGCTTTGAAGATTTTTTCATTCTAGTTTTAAATATGTTTAGTGATTCCGCATTACGAATACTAGCATCAAGTGAATTCCAAAGTTCAGTTTCTGAAGGTAAGAAAGATCTACTATACGTTTCAGTACGACGAGCTAAAGTTGCATAATTGTTATTATTTCGAAGTGGATAGTTTGATGTTTCTGAAACAGTACTTGGGGAGAGATCTTCAAGAAACGAGAGACAAGGCCATTTACTTTGTAAACAGTGACTAACTTTTGAATTTTACGTCTGTCTGAAAGAGATACCAAGCCGACTTCTTTAATCAACGAATTCATCAATACAGACCTAGTTAACCCAGTAACGACGCGCGCGCCTTCGTTTTGCAATTGTTTAAGTGACTGCTTTTCGTTTAGTGTACAACCGTCCCACACTACTGAGGCGTGATCTTTATGTGGCACTTTTCCCCATAAACAAGTTTAATAACCACATAAACCAGTCGGTTTATAGGATTTCCTTCTTTTTTTAACTATAAAAGTGGACGGAATGAAGCTCATAGTACATTTAATGCTCGCACGTCCATCCGTCCGTCTGTTAGCAGGTTAATTGTAAGGTCTGTATTTTGTTTTAAACCGCTGGAAGAAAATTGAAACTACTTGGAAGATGTGCAGAGTACAGGTTTGACCATTGTCGTGTCAAGTCAAGATCAACGTCACACGTAATTTTGTTTCAATATCAAAATTTGGTGTCCACTCTGTATCTTTTGAACTGATAGAAAGACATTAAAACTTTATTGCAGAAATATTACTTAAATTGAGACGATACGCAGAACACAAGTTTAGACTTCCTACAATTAAAATTAGCCCCCCCCCCCCGGATTAATATATTGATTTATATAGACTTTTATAGGAGTTTTTTTCGTGTTCGGTATGAATCTTTTGAACAGTTGGAAGGAAAGTGAAACGACTTGGCAGGAATGTAAACCATAATTAGAAGATGTGCAGGGCGCATGTTTGACCTTTGTCAGGTCAAGGTCCACGTCAAACTTGTTTCTATATCAAAAATGTGTGTCCGCTCTTTATCTTTTGAACCGATAAATATAAATCAATTTTTTGAGAGGAATATTACTTACGCATGTATTAAAGTGGTGTGTAGTACACAGGCTCGGACTTATTAAGTTCAAAATTGACCCCGCCACGGGGATAAATTGATTTATATAGCCCTATATAGGAGTTTTCGTGTCCGGTATGTCTCTTTTGAACCGGTATTAAGACATTGAAACTTCTTTGCAGAAATGTTAATCATAATGAGGCGATGTGCGGAGTGCAGGTTTAACGTTCCTCATGTCAGGTCAAGGTCACACTTTTGTCATTTTGTATCAATTTCTAAAGTTTGTGTCCGCTCTGTTTCTTTTCAATCTATTTGGCAGAAATATTATTGTTTCTGAGATGATGTGCAGAGCGCAATTTTGGACTACCTCAGGTCAAGGTTACACTGAAAACCTAATGTAAGTGTATATATTACAAAAAGAGATAACAATGTATGAATCTATTAATATATTTTCTCCCAGGCAATATATATGTATATATGTATTTACCTCCCTTTATTTTTCAGAATATATTACTTTATAATGTTTTTTTTTCCCAACAAACTATATATTTTCTGATTTTTCCTGTTAAGATAATTATAATTGAGGAGCTTTTATAGGTTTATATGATTGAAATATGTAGAAAGGGGACAATCTTATTAATTGAAACTGATGTTACGTGAGATATGTAAATTCAATAATTAACAATTAGTTGTAAATGAGGCATATAAAATGTCAATGTTTTAAGGTTATTTATCAAAACTTTGGACATGATTACTGTTTTGCTGTATTATGGACAGTCTCTCTAAGAAAACTGTCATAATGTAACATGTATTCAGTATATATGGTCAAAGAATAGCATTTTCTGATACTAGCAAACAAATTGAACAATAAATAATAGTGATGTCTGTTTTAGTGTTTGATTTAGTTTAATTATATTCTTTCCAAGTAAATCGACAGATTTTAGCATAATTTAACCTGACTCCTTGTCAACGACTTTAACAACAATCTTGGTCCCTCCAAAAATAAAACTTATTTCAAATTTATGGGTTCTACCAGAGCTTGTGTCAGAAATAGGCACCGTTAATGTTCCAACCAAATTGCATTCATCTTCTATAGTAAGCTGCGGATTTCTTGAAGAGGATGCATATACATCGAAACCAATGGCAGTTTGATCATAGTTTACAGGAATGCATATTTTTTCTGGCTGTTCCTCATCCACATTGACAGACTGTCGTGTTTTTACATAAATGCTTAAGATATCATAACATCGTAATTCACCATTTCCACCCTTTTCAACTCTTCCTTAGGATGACTGCAACTATCACTGTACGTATAAGTTGTTCCATACCCATATGTATACTTGCATATCCTCTCAATTATTATTATGTAGGCTCATGACCAAAGATGACAGCTTCTTTTAAGACAGCTTATCCTGCATCGTCTGGAACGATAACACTCATATTTTTAAAGGAAAACTTAACATTCTCTTGCAACATCGGTGATTCTGAAAACCCACCAACCATTAGGGTGGCAGCACAGCCCTAAAAAGCAGGTTTAGTCAGTAAATCTGCAACATGACTGATTATTTTGTTAACGGTTGGTTTGAACTAGAACTATCACTTAATGTGATTAATACCCCCGCAAGACTGCTTAAGAAATGAGGATGTTACTAGTAACAAAAGACCTTGTAAACTAATTGAAATAGAGTTATGGTTGTTGGCAATTAAAGATAGTTGTGGTACTTGTATGTTGCCTTTCCTTTCAATGCGGTTGGCCATTGATGAAGTTTTATTGAATTACTCTGCATAAAGTCCAGAAAAAGAAGGAAAAG